TGTTTATAATACCAGCCTTTCTTTCCTTTCTTTTTTGCTCCTTTAGTGCCAAATGTTTTTCAAGTGCAGCCATATTTGATGAAGAGCTCATATCTAAAGACATGGAAGAACCACCTGTAACACCGCCCCCAAGTATTTGTACTTTATCAAATTATGTATTGAACCCTGAGAAATGAATAAACGCATTTTACGTAATTGTAAATTTTATCATTTCTTTTACGTGAATAACAGAATCCACGTGGAGCCCACACCGAAAGTGGGGGCCACCCGACATGTTCGGGCCACATATTATATTCATTTGGGTCAAGACAATATGTGTACAATGGTGGATATCCTGGTTGGGCCGTGGGAATGATGTGAGTAACCGTTTGGGCATATAAAGCCCATTTATCGGTACCAAGGTAATATCAGATAAAAAGCCATAATAAATTATGGAGACCATCAAGTTAAAAGTTGGGGAAAATACATTCATTCTTATAGCCAATAATAATTGGAAGAATGAGAGATATTTCATTTTACCCGATAAAATGAAATATAGTTAAAACAGTCCGAAAAAATACAACTTTCGGGACCAAGTGTACACTTGGGGACACAAAGGGATGACCACCCATCAAAGTGGGGGCCACCCCACGTTTTTCCCAGCCTTGATTGAGGAGGTTAGAGTACCAATGTTGACTTTGGGAGAAGAGAATCGAGCTGGGGGGGGGGGGTGTTGAGACAAGGATTGACACCATGGGGACCCTCACCTCTCATCATCATGGAAAGAGCCAAGAATCACCCCAATCACTCCCTAAACCTATCCATTCGACCCAGGCCTCAATAAAAGGAAGAGGAGTGCTGCTAGGAAACCATTCCCATTGCCATTTTCGCACAAACCAGGAGGGAGAAGAAGGAGGAGAAAGGAGAAGAGAAAAAGAGAAGTTTTGGGTGGGAAAACTTGTGGTTAACAAGGTAATGATTTTATTAATCCAATTCCTCCTCCTTAATCATATTTCATACTCCTAGAGTGGTTCTACACATGTAAAAGTGTATAATGGGGGTTGAAGGGTTGGTTTATGCCCAAAACAAACTTTGAGAGCAAAGTTGGCGGGTTCACCGGAAAATAACCTTTTAGAGGTTATTTGTATTGATATGGGTTTTATGATGATAAAACCTTGTTATTAACTCGTATAAGGTATTCCAAGAACTATCACGGAGTTGAAAAGGTCGCCGGAGTTGTCGCCGGAGTTAGTTGAAGTTCACCGGAGTTTCACCAGAGCTCAATAAAGAAGGCTAGAACTTCATAAGCTTCATTAAGGTGAGAAGACGGCTATATGCTTTATAACTTTTGCGTGAGGCATGAGATTACCTAAATTAATCAATAATATGTTTTATGAATTGATTAATGGTATTAAAGCATGTGTTATGTTATGCTAAGAACTATAACAAGGTTGGAAAGCATGAAATGTAGGTTTGATTAGTGAAATGATTATAAATTGAGATGTATGATGTTCCAAGGACCAAAACAGGTATTTTTGGATCAAGGACTTCAAGGAGTATATGCATGTAAAATTTCACGTTAATCGGACTCCGTTTGGGCGGTCAAACGAGCGTTGACCGCCAAGTCAACTACAATACCCGACCGGGTATTGGCAAATACCCGACCGGGTATTTGCTGAAAAAATGCCCAGAGGGCTGCTGTCTCCTATACTCGATCGAGTATGGATAGGTACTCGATCGAGTATGCATGGAAAATTAGCCTTACGGGTTGCTGTCTCCTGTACTCGACCGAGTATAGGTGGGTACTCGATCGAGTATTGGGTTATACTCAAAATGGATAGTTTTTGAGTAGGTTAACGTGGACCGATCAGGTGGGACCCGTCCACGTTAGTTACTAAGGATCGTTACATGACTATAGGACTAGGTATTGTCCATAGTTAAGTGAATGAAAGGTTAGCCATATCCAGGTTAGGGTTGGTAAGGAATAAGGTTGAGGTTGAGTATCCTCGGGATGGATAACGATCCCAAAAGTCGGTGAGGTTGAGTATCCTCGGGACGGTAAACAATCCCAAAACTCGGTGAGGTTGAGTATCCTCGGGACGGTAAACAATCCCAAGAATTCGGTGAGGTTGAGTATCCTCGGGACGGTAAACAATCCCAAGAACTCGGTGAGGTTGAGTATCCTCAGGACGGTAAACAGTCCCAAGAACTCGGTGAGGTTGAGTATCCTCAGGACGGTAAACAATCCTAAAACTCGGTGGAGTTGAGCATCCCCGGGACGGTAAACACTCCCAAAACTCGGTAGGATATTATGAAGGTAGAATGTAGCCCTTGGGCTAGGCATTCAGGAAAGAAAGGGGAAAGGTTGGGTAAACACCTTATCTCTAAAAGACTTTTTGTGAGGAAATGACCTACGGGTCAAGTATTTTACAAGTATATACAGTATGTATTATCTTGGGAATGGGGTAACAATGGTTACACCTATATATTTATGTATCATCCTATTTTTGGGTCTCGTGTCTGAAACATTAGTTATTCCTTATATAGCCTGCTTGTCACTAGTACTTCTTTCTGTGAAGTACTGACCCCTCCGGGGGCCCTCACTATTTTTCAGGTTAAGGCTAGAGTCCTGCTACCTGCACCTTTGCATAGGGTGGACTTCGAATAAGGAAGACTTGGTTCGTGCTTCCATTCTTATTTGACTTATGAAAATGCTCATGGATATTTGAACAATGTTTTCTATTAAACTATTGAAGGGCCTGCGTGCTCATGTATGCCACGTGTGGCTAATTACTAAACATATTTTACTTCCGCATTTGTTTGAGTAATATATTGATGTTGATTGTATGAGTTTACTAATCGGTTTGGCAATAGAATCTATCGGACGCCTTGTACGATTTGATAAGGATGAACTACGTTGTTCTTATTGGGTTGTACGGCGGTTGTCTACGTGGCACGGATGTGGTCCGGGGCGTGACACCACCACTGGTAGGTTGTGATGTTTGGGAAGACAAAGGTGTATCGATCTTATAGATGCTATAGAGATCATACAAAAATGTTTTTACTTTGCTAATGCCATCTTCCACCCTAGCATCCAACTCCCCATACATCAATTCCATGTAATCACCAAGCTTTTCAAATTTATAGCGTGGGTCAAGAACCATAGCAATGAAGAAATACTCATTCACCTTATCAATATCTCCCCAATACTTCTTATATTTCCCTTGCATAGATAATGAGATGGAAGATAACATTGTATTTTCTGTTTCTTTCAAGAGACCTTGAATTTTAATTAAATCACCAAAAATAGTATGAACTGTTGGAGTGTTTGAGCAACGTACCTTTAAGGTAACTTCATAAAAAGGTTTCAAGAAGTTGGAAAACACTTCCGCCTTACACCACTCATCATCACTTGGAGGCCCTTCCCTTGACTTTTTTTCTGGATTTTCACCATGAAAATATCCAAGATAATGACCATAATCTTCTATCAACCTATCAAAAGCTTTTCGAAACTTCAAAGCGGCTTGCAACATTAAAAATGTAGAATTCCACCTAGTAGGCACATCCATGATCACAAGCCCTTGCTCTCTATCTTGACTTTTTCCACACAACTCTTAAACATGTCTAACCTTTGGGGTGAAGATCTTGCATATCTAACCGCATTTCGAATGCTTTGAATACACTTATTAAGCAGCCCCAAACCATCATTCACAATCAAGTTCAAAATATGAGCTACACATCGCATATGCAAGTTCTTACCATCATGCAAAAGTGCATTCGAAACCCTCCAAGTACTTATTCTCTTAATCAAATCTCTCAACCCGACATCATTTGATGAAGCATTATCAACAGTAATAGTCAAAATCTTATCTATTTTGTCAAGGGTGACCCACTTGACAAACGAATGTATAAGATGAGTAATACACTTATATTTTATACTTTAATATATAAAATATATATTAAGATGAGTAATACACTTATATTTTATACTTTAATATATAAAATATATATTAAGTAGCTAGATGTAGAATGTATGTATTAAGTGGATATAATAATTTTATAAGAATTAAATATTAGAGTATAATGGAGAATTGGAGATTGGAAAATAAGTATATATAAAATATAAGTAGAGAAGTAGATATTATTATGTATTAAGTATATAGTAATAGTTTATAAAGTATATTTAATACTTTATTATATAAAGTATATATTAAGTAGATATAGTATGTATGTATGTATTAAGAGATATAAGTAGAGATTAAGTAGATAAGAAATATAAGTAATATAGTATATGTAGATAATAATATATAAGTAGATAATTAATATATATAAGTAGATATAATAATTGTATAAGTATTAAATAGTAAAATAAAATATAAAGGAGAATAAGAGAATTTGAGAAGATGAATATGGAGAATTGGAGATGAGTAGAGAGTAGGATTTAGGTAGAGTTGGAGAAGAGGTGTGAAAAAATGTTTAAAATTAGGAGTATTTATAGGTTTTTTTTAACCCCAACCCCCACCCCACCCCCCACCCAAAGCCCCCTGACCCCCCCTGGTACCACCCAACGGCTATATAGCCGTTTGGGTGACCGTTGAGCCACCAAAAGAAGCAAAAAAAAAAAAAAATTTAAATTTGGACCGTTAGGCCCGGGCCCGGGCCCGACCCGGCCGGGCCGGGCCTCCAAAATCAGGACCCGAGCCCAGTCCCGCTTACCCGACCGGGTCTGTGCCCGAATCGGACCCGGACCCGAGAACCGGGCCGGTTCCGGGCCCGCACAGTGGCGGGCCGGGCCGGTCCCGGGCCGGGCGGCCCGAACCGGGTCCACGCCTAAGTGGGTGACGAGCGACTCTTACTTTGAAGCAAATATGAATGTTTGTACTTCATTGCTTATAGATTTTCATATGTTTTTGCACAGTGACAATTATTATGTACACAAAATAGAAGTATTTGCGTACACCAACCAGCTTTGCACTTTTTATTGGTGTAATTACTTATTGCGCGTATTTGATTTGTTGCTGCAACATCATTGAAAAAGCAAAAAAGCAGTAGTAGAAGCTTGGCCTGCTTTCTCTTTACAGAAGAAAGTGAGAAAACCCCAATCCCAAGCTTCTTTCTCATCATTCTCTCCGTCCTATTCCAAAACTATCTGTTGCATTTAAATATCCTGTACTTGTTTTCACTTCATCACACCCACAATCTCAATCTCGAGATTTGAATGGGATGGGAGGAAACAGAAACCTTTCCTGATTAATACCTGTCCATGTTTCAGTGATTAATCGCCTGTTTTTAGCCCTTTCTTCTGACATCTCCCATCTTCTCGGCAATCTGGAGTTTCTTTCAGGCTGAAAATTTCTCACTAGGACATGAAATTGAAATATTCAGTAGGAGTATGTTAGTTTTTCTCGAAGAGATTTGAATGATTCGGATCTTGGCAGAGATCATCAGTATATGTTTATATAACTTTTGTCTGCTTGTCAATTGCGTCATTTAAGATGTTCTGCCCCAATTGTCTTCGATTTTGAAAAGTTAGGTCTTCTCTTAGATTATTCGATGGTGGAAGTGGTGACGGCCGCTAAAGACTATAGTAAAAGATAGGGTTCTGATTCCTTTAAACGAGTGTGTTCACGATTTAACGCTGAAATTGCCATTGTTAAACCACCCCACGATCTCCATAAATTCTCGCCTCTCAACGTAAGAGAATATAGGTAACATTTCCTCTTGTTTCTTTTGGGGCCTGAGATGGAGATTCTATCTCCGGCGACGTCTCCTTCTTCATATATATCGAGCTCAATATGGTTGTCTGAAGAAAGCAGCACATGGACCGCTGCTGAGAACAAGGCCTTCGAGAACGCTCTTGCTCTGTACGACAAGGACACGCCGGACCGGTGGCGGAAGGTGGCCGCTATGGTCCCGGGAAAGACGGTGTTGGATGTCATGAGGCAGTACAAAGAATTGGAGGATGATATCAGTAGCATAGAGGCCGGGTATATGGACTTGATTCCATTTCCGGCTTATGATAACACATCCAGTCCAACCACTTCTTCACCTCTTACATTTTTTGAGAAACAGTGTCTTGCTGCCGCCAGTGGGAAGAGATCCATGTCTAGCAGGCAGCCGGAGCATGAACGGAAGAAGGGTATACCCTGGACCGAGGAAGAACACAAGTGGGTAACAATAGAATGGTTCCTAGTCTTGTTTTTTTTTTTTGAATTTTGAGTGAATGAATGGATGCTGACAAGGTGTTTGATAATATGCCTCACAGGTTGTTCTTGCTGGGACTGAAGAAGTATGGGAAAGGAGACTGGAGAAACATTGCTCGCAACTTCGTCATCACCAGAACGCCAACCCAAGTCGCCAGCCATGCCCAGAAGTATTTCATTCGCCAGATTTCTGGTGGGAAAGACAAAAGGAGAGCCAGCATTCATGACATAACCATGGTTACTCTTAACGAAAATCCTCCACCTGCTACGTCCTCGGCTGATACCAAGAACCATCATGGTTCAACATACCAGCCAATCATGGCTACTCAACACCAGAATTCCACATTGCTCTTTCATGCACAAAATGCTCAGGGAAACACTTTCATCTCACCCACATATGGAATAGAGTCGTATGGGATGAACAGAGCGCAAAGAGATGCCTCCACGCATGGGTCTTACTTTGGTACCCAGGTTTTGCCCTTTCACATGCCATCAGCTGCACCCCAGTATTACCCTTAGTCTTAAGGCTAGAAAACCAGAAACTGAAGGATGATCTATTCCGAGTAACTAATGTTTCTACTTTATTTCTCCTCTTGTGAATATGGTGTTGCGATTGAAGATCTGTAGATGAGATCATCAATCTTTGGCTTGACCCAATGCTACTGTAATCTTATACTCCTTATTAGGAACAGAGATAAGGAATGTGGTGCCTGTAATGGCTGAAATGTTGTAAATTATGCATATATTTAAACACAGGCTCTGCTTTCTGCATATGTGCATCTAGCAGTATTATCTGTGTTTTGATTATCTAGCATTACTACACGTGCTTTAGCCTTTAGGAAGTACATGTTGGGATCATTCCACATGAACTAAAACTTTCAGCAAATTATTTCACCATTTTTTTTACATAATTTTACTCGGATAATGGTGGAAACATATGTCCCTGTTAAATTATATGTCGATCAGATTGAAGCAGGGACCTCAACTTTTCCTATTAGATATAGAACTCCAAACTGTAACAGTAGAGTAAATACTCTCCCAGAAGACACAAATGAATACATAATTTTCAAGCAAATACTATTCACGATGGTTCTTGCAACACTCTTTCAAAAGATCGTGCTAAACTTTGTATTAGGAACTAGACACAATGATTACTAACAATATCATCTTCTCCTTTGAGAGCATGCACCTATTGCATTAAAAAATACAACGGGTGGAAGGTCTAGCAACACTCAAAATTGACTTGAGTAAAACATATAATCTAGTTTAGTGGAGACTTCTAGAGCATTGCACAAATAGGCCAATAGGGTCTTCTATTATGATTATCATTATTATTATTACAATTGCACCTTCTCAAATAATCACATTTGCGGTGGTAATCACTTCTAAGTAAATGTCACATTATTTTTATGAATAATCTTAAAACTTTTTAAATTATATAAATGCTAATCAATTATCATCTATAAATAGTGCATCATATGATCTACATTCATCTATCCACCTCTAGTTTGACAAGTAAGTCGAATTCGCATTTTGAAGATAAATAATCGAAATTAATAATATTTCTTCCTCAATTATTCTGCACAAAAACATGTCATATAATCAACTTCATCACCTAATAGTTTACAAAATATGATGCCATTATTAGTACGTTGAAGATTAATATTTGCTAACATTGCCCGTTATATTGCTTATCATCATGACTCATGAAGGGATTTTAATTAGTGGCAATGGCTCCACCTAATGGACGTAAGCAATGAAATCATCTACTATCGTATTTATACTCCTTGCTTACTTATATTCTGCTGCTAATGTCCCTAATATTGTGTCCCTTTGCTCAAGTTGTGTTGGAGGTTTGTATGTTTGCGTATATATGATTCGCAATATATATTTATTCTATTCTTTGTGTGTGGGTATAGTTTGGAAGAGTGAGCCGGCAAAGCTTTCGGATAATATATAGCAATTAGCAACAATAACAAACACGTCTCCAAATGGAGTTCGTATATGGTGCAACCGGCCCACCGTGAGCATGCACAGGCAAAAACGCGCGTTACTTTTCACCTGTGTGAACATTAACTTTTTTTTTTAATTTTTTCTTTGTCCAGTAGCAAAATAATGTAATTCGTGTGTAAAGAAATGTAACCCACGCTGGTAAGAAATGTAAATGCAGACAAATCAAAATGTAACTTGTCTAAAACATTGATTTGAATGTTAAAAATAAAAAAGAGTCTAATTTCTTAATTACTTTACCTAAATAGTGAATATGTTTTATTTCTAATATTAATATCATAAAATGTTTAAGGAATCATTTTTTTTTCACAAAAAAAATTCTTCACAATGAATAAAGAGTTTAGTAGTCCAATTATTTTACATAAATAATGTATGTATATGTTTTTTAATATCAGGACCATTAAACATGATTTTAAAAATTCATTTATATTTGAATAGCAAAGGTTTGTTTTGTTGTGTAACTCGTATTGGTTTGCGCTGCTTGTGATGAAACGGAAATAGGGAATGATGATTTGTGGTGCTTGTTTTAGTGGCAAAACGATACCGTATTGGGATCTGTACACCGTGCGCACGGTGCACCGATCCCACGGTATAATTTGCCCTCCAAATGTATCACTACAAAACAATTGACACAGATTTGACACAGATTGATCGATGATTTCAAGTCAAATAGCTCGTGCCAAAATGTTTATGATACAGATTTGACGCATCTCTGTCATATCCTCTGTGATGCCAATCCTTGCAAAAAATCTCTATCAATTACATGTTTTTTAGTAGTGTATATATAAACATGTCATTATTTTGCAGCATATTGTTGAGGACTTGAGTCTTGAGGTTGACGTAATTAATACATACATTTGTTTCCTATTAATTACATCCAATAATATGAGGTGAATATATTATACGGAGTATATAATAAATAACCATTACAGTAAGATGCTCTATCTATTTTCATCATCCCATTAACCATTAAAGTGTTCAATTGATTACTAAAATTGATAAATTACTAGAATACTAGAGGGACAAAATCTAACAATCATCTTTTCCTTACATAAAAGAGATTTATTTTTATATTTTTCAAAAACAAAAATAAAGAGAAAATAAATTATAGTATACTAGTACCTAGTATTATTTTAACGTTGGATTTTTATTTGGAAGGTTGGATCATTTTCCCGTTCAAACAATGCCAAACACATCTCAACCTTTACAATAACCCTTTTTTACACAAAAAAAAAAAACTTGCTAGGGCGAGATGAAATCATGTTGACACCAATAGGACTTGATCGGCCCATCAAATAAAGACTCTTCCCTCACACTCTCACTTTCCATTTTCCCGCTCAAAATGCCTCCGTAATAAAATAGGATTCAAAATTTCCGTTTACCACATTTTTGACTCATCATAACTATTTGTTCACCCAAGTTGGTATTATTATAAGCAGATATTATTATAATAGGTTTAGAAAGATATTCAAAAATTGTCCACCACTACAAATGATCAAAGCGTGATACATTTAATTTTTTGAAGTCTTTAAAAAGTAGGGGTATTTTTATTACCTGTACTGTAAATCTGTAATAGTAATAGACAGTTTAACTTATTGATCCTAGCTAGGAAAAATTAAAACTTGCAGCTGCCTGGCCAGTTTATCTTTGACACGAGTCCCACATATATTGTCCAAATTCATGCTTCACTAATCACTACAAAATGGCGTGGTCACAACCCACTCTTTTGAGTCTAATCTGCAATTCTGCATCATCATTTGTGTCCATTCCCAACTCTAAAAAAAGTGCATGGAATACTATTAAATTGCCCGACATAGTTGTTAGGTAAGCGTCACAGTTTTATTAACGCAGACATAAAAACTGGGCCAACTTGTACGTACTGCTGCTTCCTTCAATTATTTATTCTCAGTCGAAAGCTGAGTCTGATTTCCACTATTGGTCAGCAGTAAAGCAAGCAGCATCCTATTCTTCACTTCCTTAATGCCCGGCATGTGGCATCACCCCCACAAGCCTTTCATAGTTTAAAATGGATGTATTCTAATTATTGGTACTCCCTCCTGCCGCAAAATAGTTCTCGCTTTCCTTTTTGGGTCGTCCCAAAAAATAGTTTTCATTTTCCCTTTTGGAAAGTTTTTTGTGGTTATCATTCATTTACCTTTTTCTTACTCAACCACAACCATACATTTCCAAGCCACGTCAATGCGGGAACTATTTTATGGGACGGAGGGAGTATTATTCTATTTTGATACCTTGACTCTTAGATCGAGCCTGTTTTGTAACACTAACATTAGCTATATTGGTTGATTATGTTGATTTATGAAAAAATTGTATTTTAAATATATTTTATTAATAAAATAAAGAAAAATTATATGAAAAAACAGCTAAAATGATTTTCTACAGTAATTTCAGCCAATACAGTTACAAAAGTAACTTCAACCTTACTTTTTCTTCTTATTATCACACAATTCAACGCGTGAAATCAAGAGTTATGTGTTTGGTGAAAAAGTTGGCTGATAAGCTTGATAAGCTGAAAAACAGACTCACCAAACGGGCTCTTAATGATAAAGTATTTGTCCCATACTGAAAAACTTAAAACAACAAAACATTATACTTCTTCGGTTCTTTTTTAGTTGCAACATTCACTTTTTCACGTTTGTCAACGCACAACTTTGACCGTCATTATACTTAATTTTGTATTAGTAAAAAATAATTAAAAATCAGATTATGAAACTTTTTAATGAGACGAATTGAACAATATTTTTCAAAAAATAATAATTCACATACATTAATAAATAAAATGTAGTCAAAGTAAAGTACATGAATAGTGTATAATTTGCAATGTTGCAACTAATGTGATAGGGAGGATAGTATCAGGTTGACCTTTCAGAATGAAACCCTCGTCTTAACACTTAATTTAAATGAAACAAATCGGTATGAAACAAATTATATTTAAATGTTTCAATCGGTAATACTTCATACTATTTCAATTACTGGCCAAAAAATTATACGTCTTGGTTGGAATTTTACGTGTTTAGTTCACCGTATAGTGATGACATTGATACAAGTAATTCATAGTTGACTATACGAAATTTCAGCAACCACATAGGTTTTTTTGACAGTAAATTTGAACATTATTAGACCATTTGGAGTGGTAAAGTTTTAGGAGTCCAAAATATTAAATTTAAAAAATTTGGACTCCTAATGATGTGTAGTGGTATGCTAGAAAGGAGTTAAAAATTGGTAAATAAGATAGAGGGTCTTTAAATTAAGACCCATGTTGACAAAGTCTAAAGAAAAGGGAGCAAAGGAAAATCAAGCATTGTCCTCCCGTGGTGCGCAGGAGCTATACAATTTGATGATGTCATAGTGACATCATTAAATCACAATTATTTTAAAACTCTCATAACTTTTTTATTTTTCATTCAAATTTTTCAAAACATATATCAAATTTTTATAATCTTTCATATGACACCAATATGTAATATATAAAATGAAAAAAAATCTGAAATTATAATTGTTGAAATTTTTTTCAATCTAAAATAACAAGAAACACAAGTTTTTAATTCATGGATCTCCACAAATTTCTCACTATTCCGCAATCGAACTTTACTTGTTCTATGTTCATTTTTTGCTAACCGAAAAATGTTAAAAAAATTAATGAAATTTATTTATTTTTATATCAAAATGTGTATATTTTTATTTCATAATAATTCAGATAAAAAATTTAAAAGAAGAAGTTAGTTATAATAATTTAAATAATGTTTTACTAAATTGATATGTCAAAAAATGTGCAGAGTGTATTTTATTGACGGTGATGGAATGCAGAGAAATAAGAGTCAAAACACTGTTTTCATATCGACAGAGTCCATTTTTGACATTTAGACTCTTGCACCACTCCAAATGGTCTTATTGGTTGAAACATTTAAACTATGACAGTGATTTGTTTGTTTTATTACCAAAGTGCAACAATCAAAAAATAATCAAATAATCAAGTAGTTACAGTAGGGAGTAGTATTTATGCATTTTACCTGCTTTCCCTCATCTTTGTTTAAATATTATCCGCATCCAGACCAGACCAGACCAGTCCAGACCAGACCAGACCAGACTTGGATAGTTATAAAAATACAAAGAAACCAGACCTTACCAGACCAGACCAGACTAGACCATCAAATTACAGTCCAAGTAAAAACATCCTTATACTATGTTGCTTGATAACGATCATTTGATTGTGTTGAAGTCTTCGGATGCATATCCCACTCAGCTTTGCCATAGGAAACTGTAATAATTAGTTAAATAATGTGTTTTTTATAGATATTATTTCACATGCGAGTAAAACATTGACGAAATGTATAAATAGGGGAAATTATATATTTTTAAAAGGAAATATAACTATTAACCCCGAGGTTATGTCATACTCCCCCGTCCATTGGACAATGCCAACTTTTCATTTTTGGTTGTTTCAAAAATTTTTGCCACTTTCCTATTAAAGTAACTAAATTGTGGCTTTGCACATTTCTTTCTCTTCTGTACAAATCTCAACAACACAGTTTTTACTTTTCTTATTTTTCACATACTTTACACTTGTCAAAATCCACCGAACGGCAGTAGTTATTATGTCAAGGGAAACTGTCATAATTAGTTAAATAATGTGTTTTTTATAGATATTATTTCACATGTAAGTAAAACTGTAAAACATTGATGAAATGTATAAGTAGGAGAAATTATATACGAGTATTTTCAAAAGGGGAATTTACTATTAACCCCTGAGACTCTTGGGTGCCGGGATTTCGCCGGCTTGTATGTGGTTGGCTGGTTTTCAAGTCCCTATACCGTACACCCGGGTGTACGTACATCCGGTCCAAGTATTGAACTTCATTGGTGGGTTGGCATCTTGTCACAACGAATCGTGACTATAGGACCCAAATTTGACTGACTGGGAGCGATCATCTTCCCTGCGCCTTCCCCATTTTCTGGACTTGCAGAATACGGAGTTGTGGAGCATACCAATTCGCCCATGTGTATGCCGTTTTCTACATTTTCATCATGGCATAAATAAATTGTTTAAAACAATTAGATTTTCTTTTTGTATAGTCTATACAAATTATCCGTAAACCAAATAATTGTACTGAGCATTTAAAGATATTCATTATTGCAATAGTGTAATGTAATTAAATTATTTAAATTAGACTCCAAATTAAATTAGATTCGTATACTCAACGTAATAGGTCTGATGCTCATTAAAACTTATTGATCGCTAAATGGGCCATAGTGTACTTTTAGTGAGCATCTCACCTATTGTATTGAGTAATATAACGCTAACAATGAGTATCACGATCTCTGCTTCATATCTTCTAATTATTTTTCTCTTTTAATTTTTTCTTTTTACATAAACTTATTAAATTATATCTATAATTCACTCATATTAATTTGAATATGCGAGTCAAATGTAATATGATACTTTTGAAATATGTATGCATATGACATTTTCAAAATGAGCATAACATCAGTACCAAATGAGCATACATAACTTACAAAGTGTACATTGATATGAAATCGTAAGGTTTGGTAGTTAAACATCACAACATTTTAATTGAGCATCAAACCTCAGATATTGAGATGAAAATTACGATTTCTGGTGAATGAGTATTAATGAGCATCAGACCTATTATGTTGAGTATTAGGAGTCTAACATAAAATAGTACTTTAAAAAATACATTGATATGACATTTATAAATTGAGCATAAGATCAGTACCAGATGAGCATACGTAACTTACAAAATGAGCATTAATGAATTTGTTAGTTGCTTTGTTAGTTGAACATCACGACATTTTCATTGAGCATAAAAAATCCTCTATTGAGATCGATAAAAATCATGATTTCTGTAAAATGAGCATTAATGAATTTTTAATGAGCATCACACCTATACAAATGAGCATATGTAACTTTAAAAAAAGAGCATATGTAACTTACAAGATGAGCATCGATATGCAAATTCTAAGTTTTGTTCGTTGAACATTTTACATGCGCATTGATATTACATTTTACATATGAGCATAAAATTAGTACTAAATGAGCACGTGTAACTTACACAATGCTCATTGATAAGAAAATCGTGTTAATTGAACATCACGACATTTTCATTGAGCATCAAACCTCCTCTATTGAGATGAGAATCACGATTTTTGTTAAATGAGAGCTAATGAACTTTTACTGAGCAACGAACCAAATTTGTTGAGTATTAAGAGTCTGATATTGAGTATCATGATCTCTGCTTTATATCTTATAATTCACTTTCTTTCTTTTTTTTCTAAAAAATATTAAATTATATCTATAATAAACTCCTATGAAATTTCAATATGTGAATATAGTATAATATGATAATTTTGAAATATGCATTGATATGAAATTTTACAAATGAGCATAAATGAGTACAATTTGAGCATATGTAACTTACAAAATGAGCATTGATATGAAAATCATAAGTTTTTTAATTGAGCATCAAGACATTTTCAATGAGCATCAGATCTCTTCTATTGAATATTAAAAACATGCAATTGAGTATCGTGGTCTGTGCTCGATAAAGTATCTGTAATCAATTCCTATGTAAATCTTATGTGATACAATGCAAATCACGACTTCTGTTAAATGAGCTTTAATGAATGTTTAATGAGCATCAAAACTATACAAATGAGCATATGTAACTTAAAAGATGAACATTAACATAAAATTTTTAAGTTTTATTCATTGAACATCAAGACATTTTTAGTGAGCTTCAAACCTCCGTTATTGAGTATTAGAATCGTGCGATTGAGTATCATGATTTGTGGTCTCCTGTCTATAATCAACTTCTATGTGAATCTAATGTAATATTAGACTTTTGAAATATGCATTAATATAACATTTTAAAATGGACATAAAAAACTAGTACCAAATGAGCATACATAACTTACCAAATGAGCAATTATATGAAAATCATAAGTTTTGTTAGTTGAGCATCGAAAATTTTCAATAAACATCAAACCTCTTCTATATAGTATCAGAATCATTCAATTATGTATTATGATTTCTGCTCACATGTATGTAATCTAACTCTTATGCGAATCTAATATAATATTTTTGTAATATGCATTAATATAACATTTTAAAATGAGCATAAAACCAGTATCATATGAACATACATAACTTACAAAATGAGCATCACAAAATTCAAAAGCTCGTTTGAATTCTCTAATGTGTTTAAATGTTCATTTGTGCACATATATTACAATGACAAATATAGTAATGACAATATACTAATTTTATATTAAAAGTAATTTATAGTCCTTCATTATGTAATTAAAAATATAATCGGATTCTTTTTATCATGTTCACTCATGCATATTTATTTTACACAATACTTATTTTAGTATAACACAAAATTCATGTTAGTAATTAGCACATAATATTTAATAATCAATAAATATTCATCATAAATTAAAAATAAAAAACATTAATACCTTAAATCTTCATCATAAATTAAAATCAATGGAAAAGGTGGTTAAAAAAAGGTAAAAGAAAAAAATGAAGTACGTAGAAACTAGAAAGCAAAAAGCAGGAGGTTAAGAAAAAGAAGGCGGATGAAGGGCACTACACAATAAGCTATTCATCATGCCTGACCGCATCTCCATAAAAGCTGGGCCGCATCTCCATAAAAGCAGGGCCTGTAGTCCACATACGGAGGGAGCCGAGAAAGAATACCGATGGAAGTACAAAGAATTACAAAAATACCCGGATGTACAGTACATCCGGGTGTATGATATAATTTACGCTGGTTTTCCGGCTACTGTTAAACTTCCGCCTAGCCGCTGCCGTGCCGTTGCCGCTAGGGGTCGCCGGGGCCTAGAGGGGGTACAGTGGTGGTGGGGGAGCATGGTTTTGCAGATGGTTACTTTCCGGCTTGTTTTCCGACTTCCCACCGGTGCTGCTAGGGCGGAAGCCGGAACTTGGCAGGGGTGGGGGGAGGCGTTGACCGATGACGTGGCCTCCTGAGCTTGGGATGCGGCGCACCGATGCTGGCCCGAATGACATAAGTTATTAGGCTGACCCGGGAACCTGTACAAACCCTAGTGGACTGCTCTGTTATTGGACTGCTGGTACTACATGCGGCCCATGCGGGGGACTGGATCTTGCTCGGTGGGCTTCGGGCAGATACGGATAGGGGAAGCTTGCTACCCTGGATGCTTTGACTTTGGTGGACTATGGCGCTGGGCTTGCGGGCTTTTATTAGCAAACGGCCCAGTAGTTTCCTTTGAGGGGTGTCTGACTTTTGTTGTTTGGATGCTTGGGCTGGGACGTTATTCTGGATGCAGTGGGCAATTGTTTGTCTGCTACCTCCTGACGTGGATGCTACGGGCCTTGATTGGCTTTTATTTTGGGTCCACATTTATGGCATGAGGCTTTTTGATTTTTGTGGATGTTAATTTTGGACCTTTTGGGTGATGTTTCTTGAACACTTAGCCGGGGCATATCCAGTGCAAGTTTGGATTACTAAGGGAGTGTTTGCAAAAACTTAAAAAAAAAAATACTTCTCAGTTTTTTGTTTCAAAAAACACTTATTTACCAAATACTACTATTTTTTACTTTTTCTCGGCTTGCGTGTGAAAAATGTTTTTCCCTTTTCTATTACACAAAAAACACTTATTTTATCAAACACTACCAACTTTTACTTTTCAAAATCACTTTTTTCTCAAACACTATCAACTTTTACTACTAATCACTTTTTCCTTACATCTCCAAAAGTGTTTTTTTTTAAGCAGAAGAAGTTGCAAACACTCCATAAGCCGGTGACCTGTCTCGTGGTAGTTTTGATTTTGGACCGTTTTAAAATCCCTCCCTATCCCCTACCATGAGGTGGGGGTGGGTGGGGTGGAGGAACAGTTGATACTTGCATTTTGTTACTTTTGGATTAATATATTTTACATTTCATCCGAAAAATAATTATTAATGCAACCTTGCATGTTCAAAAATCAATAAGTTACCTCCTCACTTTTGATCAATTAGTTACCTCCTCACTTTTGATCATTCTCACTTTTAATATGTTCAAACATTAACCCTGAAGTTAGCTCTACATAGATTCAAGTTAAGCAGGTAGTTGACATTGTGTACTTTATATGACTATTTAGTTAGCTCTACATAGATTCAACCCTGAAGTTACTTCCTTGTTCAACTTTATCTATGGTAAAATGATAGAAAAAAATCAAAATGTAATGTTCAAATATTGCATACTGGGACCATCCTAGTACCCACCTCCCGTTCCAACCGGTATTTATTCAGGACGTGTTGGCCGGTTTGAGATCCTAGGTATATAATTAGTCAAATATGCAATCAGATCTATGCATACTTGTGACGAGTAGAAGACAACTAGAAAAGTACACGAAAATCTTTGGTAAGGAGAAGAGACAATTGGAGAGAATTAATGTACTAAGAATGAGTTAAAAGTCTATGGCTATCCGTTGATTTTTGAAGTCAATAAGAATGAATAGAAATTTGAATATGCCTAGACTTTTATGGGCTTTCAAAAGTCTACATTGAACACACCTTGACTTATGTAGACTTTTAAAAGTTCACATTGAATACACCTAAAATTTTAAAATCCACGAACTTTTAAAATTTTGCCACTAATCCCTAGTACAATACGCCCCTGTTAGTGATAAAAATAAATGTGCATGAGTGAAACATTATAAAATGACAGAAATGAATATTTGAGCACATTAGAGATTTCAAATGCGCTTTCGGATTTTTCTATGCTCATTTTAGAAGTATGTATGCTCACCATTTGGTGTTGATGTTATGCTTATTTTACAATGTTATATCAATACATATTTCAAAAATATAATATTACATTAGATTCGCATATTGGAATTCATATGAGTTGATTATATATATATATTATATAAGATATTTTTACAAAAGAAAGAAAAAGAAAACTAAGAATAAGAATAAGAAAGTGAATTAGAAGACTGTCAGCAATACTGAGTGAGTATAGAAGACTCCGAAACATAATGATTGAATATTTGATAAACATATAACAAAAACAAAAGTATCAAGAGGCCGTGACCACTTTTTAAGTAGAAAGTGGTTGAAATAATAAATAAATGGATGAAATAATCAAAGTAAAATTCATCAATAAAACACCCATTTCTGTAAGCATTAAAAGAGGACATCCGAGGAAATAGGCTAACACGAAAGATGGACTTAAGGAGGAACCTGGCTGCGAAACAAGAAGACATAGAGAGAATGGCGAGTAAGAAATTTGAAAAGTGAAGAGCATTGCAAGCAACTCCTCAATAAAAAACTAAACTCAATTACTTAATCCTTTCAAGAAACAATAAATCATCTGCAAAGTTAGATCATTAATTTTTTTGGTATTTTCACATGACTTAGCTTTCAACTACATAATCAATGTTGACAAATTTAGGAGCAACATATCTATAATTTTGAATGACAGTATAAGGGCAAAAAACTAAGATACACTTTGGTCTCGGGAGTTTGAATTTTCTTATTTTCATAAAAATTCAGAAGTAAAATACAATAAATATGATCACACTAGTAAAGTTGTGTAAAAAAGCACGACCTAAGAGAAATATGAACAAAACTTTAAGCCTAACAGTATTAATGTAATTAACAATAAAACTTGTTTTCCAATCACTATGCTTTGACTTAATTCTTTAAATTACGTCCTTTGAAATTTTAAAATTGATGGACAATGGATTAGAGACTAAATTAAAGCATGTGTTTTGAATCAACTTTTTGTTGTTTCGTTTGAAGTTTTGTGTGTAAAAAAATCAAAAGGTTATTTACTCGTTTTCAGTAATAAGTCTTTTAAGGAATTGTTATTTGGTAATATGCGATTTAATTTATTTTTAGTTACGCTTGCTGGTAGAATCGAGCAAATTCACCAACGATGTGTTCGGCACTATTTTAGTTTTGGAACTTAAAAACCCCACCCTTTCAGACCAAGAAAACACAATCTGATTGGAACAAGCCGGTAGAATCAAGCAAATTCACCAATGCTTGCTTGGAACACATAAACTGTTGTTTAACTTTCAGACCAAGAAAATACAATCTGATTACAAGTTAAAAGAGTGTACTCTATTTAAACTCAAACTCTTTTGTAATCTCTAAAAAGACCTAGAAATGCAAAATACTCCGTAGTGAGTTTGAAAAACATATAAAATTGCTATTGAATGTGAGCTAATCTTACATTTTCTTCTAACCGGGAGTTGTTTATGGACATGTTTATACAAGGAGATCTTTCATGTATGCTTGGAACACATAGGGAGGAAAGACTTGTTTCAACCAAATGTTATGGCAGTAAGCAAAGAACATTGAGAATATTTGATGGCAAACCAGAGGACATAAAAAGTTCATATGGACACCTGTGCAAACACATAACAATCAATGAAGATCAAGCTGGAAGTCTGTGACACCTTAAACTTTGACCCAGTAATATATGTAGGGAACTTCCACCTTCTTTCTTGGAAGTTGCCAAGAGGCATCTCACACCTTCTTGGAAGGAGGTCTCCAACATATGAACATGGAAGAAGATTATTTGGAGATAGCTAGGAAGCTCCCTAGCCATGTGAATGGAAGCTTGGATGCAACTTCCTCTTGTCTCCAAACTAGTCCTATAAATAGAGTGCTCCATGTTATTCATCAGTATCAATTTTATAAAGTGAGAAAAGTGTGTGAAGAGTGAAATACACTTAGAGTAGAAGTGTATTGGTGATGATTGATTTTTTGTAATGGTTGAGTGTGAGAGTTTGCTCCCCCTATTGTAATTCTGTTATTGATATTGAATAAAAGAATATTCCAATCTCAACAAGTGGTATCAGAGCGAGGTTGAGTTTCCATACTATTTTCTCATTTTTAAGAAAAATTTCTACAGGTTAGAAAATCGTGATTTTTGAAGTTGCTCGGAATCACGATCTGATCATACCGTTAGATTCGTCTCGTCGAGAAGAGAAATCTGGTATTTTTAGGGAATTTTTTGGCCACCGGAAATGGCCGTACGCGCCGCCCAACCGCCGCCTGGAAACTGCCTGCGTCATCACGCAGTCCAGAGGAAGAAGACGAGACACGTTAGTCGCCACGTCATCGCCAGGTCAGCGCCACGTCGGACCACGTCATCGCCACGTCGTGCTGAGTCATCGTCCACGTCATCCACGTCATCCGTTCGCCTGCTGCACGTTATCTGCCACGTCAGCACCAGCGCAGAGCCAGCTGCTGCCACGTCATCCGCCTGCTGGTCTGCCCACTGGGCTGCTGCCTGAACCGGACCGAATCGGTTCGTACTTATGTAGGTCAGACCGATTTTGGACGAGGTCAGACCGTTCCCACCATTTTCGGCCATTCCGGATCCAACGGTGAGCTCTGTTTGTCCAAATTCGGCTTCGAAAATAAGGTACGAGATATATTGAGCGTTTTATTATGGATAAATCATTATCGGACAGCATGATTGCGCTCACTTCCACAAATTACAATATGTGGAAGCTTCGGATGGAGGATTTGCTAAATTTGAGAGATTTAGCCGATCCTCTTGATAATAATGGCGTGAAACCGGATAAAAAGACGGATGAAGAATGGACAAAAATGAATCGAAAAACTGTCACACAAATTCGACAGTGGATAGATCATAGTGTGTTCCACCATGTGGCTCAAGAACAAAGTGCTTACACACTATGGGAGAAGCTTGGTAGCATGTATCAAGCAAAAACCGCCCGAAATAAGACGTTACTAATGAGGAGATTAGTAAACCACAAGTTACGAGAAGGTATTTCGGTGTCTGAACACACCAGTCAATTCCAGGATCTTGTGAATCAATTGAGCACCACCGGATGGGTTCTCAAAGATGAAGAACAGGCGTTACTACTATTGAGTTCTCTACCTGACAACTGGGAGACCCTTGTTGTCACTCTCAGCAATTCTGTTCCCAATGGCAAGGTGACTATGCAGATGGTCATAGATGCCCTGATGAATGAAGAAGCCCGAAGGAAGGAAGCTGGGATAAAACAATCATATGCCCTCGTATCAGAAACTAACAGACGAGGGGGAGGCAGAAATGGAGGAAGAAGTCGAGGTCGAGGTAGAGGCCAAAGTCAAAACAGAGGCAATTCTCAAATTCGCGGCAGATCACAAGAGGGAGGTATGTCCTTTGAAAACAATACTTGGTTTGAAGGATATTGCAATTACTATGGTAATTATGGGCATATAAAAAGAGAGTGTATAAAGTTTCTACGAGAGCAACCACAGACGAGTCAAAATACTAGCTAAGAAGATGGTGAGACCATGGTTAGTTTGTCATCAGACGTGTTACTTGTTACACATGGTGAACAAGAATGTTTACACATAGGTACTCGTGATGTTGAGTGGGTGATTGATACAGCCGCATCATTTCACGCCACTCCACACTAGAACTTATTCACATCTTATAAGTCCGGAGACTTTGGAGCTGTGAAGATGGGAAACACTAGTTTCTCGAAGATTGTTGGCATTGGTGATGTGCACATAACAACCAATGTCGGATGCACATTTGTGTTGAAAGATGTTCAACACGTTCCGGATCTTAGATTGAATCTTATCTCTGGTACAGCTCTGGATCATCAAGGACATCTTAACCAATTCAAAGAAGGTGCGTGGAAGTTATATAAAGGTTCCTTGGTTGTTGCAAGAGGCCATATTTGTGGTACT